GCACTTCTCCCTGGAACCTCCGGGTCTTCTCCCGCCTTCCACCAGGGGAAAGATTTACCCGATGGATCCAGGGTTGGGAAGCAAAAACCTTTCCCCAAATTGGGAACCCTTTCAGCTCTCCCCAGGCCCAAGCAGCTCCGTTACCATCCGGAAGGTTGTGGAGGCCAAAAGCTCCGTGGGGAGGAGCGAGACGGGGGCTGTTGGGGCCACCGGGAGCCGGAGCGAGTGCTGTTATCTGCATGCCGGGATGAGCCCCGGGATCCGCCGGCRCTCCTGGCGCAGCCACGGATGCCAGGCAGTAACAGCACCCCGGCGGCTGCTGTTTGCAAGGAAAAGCGCCCCAGATTCCCGGGTAAATAACGGCGTTAACTCTGAAAATGCTGGTTTGGAAGCAAGTGGCACGGGCGTTCCCGACGGCAGCAGCGCTCTGGAAAAGTTCCAGAGCCACCTGGCCTGTTCAGAATCGCCCCTTTGGAATCGTTTTGGACGCCTGGTGCAAAGATAAGGTGGAGAGTCATTGGCTTCAGATTGTGGGAAGTGGCGCAAATCCGGGATATCGGATGGGATGCGCAAGCCGGAGGGGAGGCAGGTTCAGCCCCCGAGGGATGCGGTGCCCATGGATGCACCTGAACGGAGCTTTCCCGTCCCCTAGTGCTCAGCACAGCTCTGCCTCCCTAAAACACAGGGAATCCGCAGGGAAAAGAGCGAGGACCAGGCAGGAGACAGCGGAGCAGGGATAACTGCGGTGTCACCGCGGCTCCTCTCCCACCTCGGGCCCCAATTAGCACTAATTGGGCCATGCAAAAACCAAACTGCTTCGACGGGAAAGAACAAGGGCAATAAATTATTCCGGAATAAAGAGGAGTCGCTCCCCAAGCAAGGGATCCGTCTGTTTGCACACAGGGCAGAAGAGGACATTCTCCTCCACGTAATTTGGGGGGAAAAACAAAATAAATCCCTGTGCCAGCTTTAAAAGATTATTAAATCTTGCAGTAATCCGCRGTATCCGGGGCGGCACGGGAGGCTCAGGAGCAGCAGAGCCGGGGGGGCGGGAAGGATGGAAACGCTGGTGATGGATGAGAAGAGTGGGTGTTTGGGATGTCCCGGAGGCGCACGTGAGATTCCAGGTCTCTCCAGGGAATAATAGGAAAGGAAGGAGGAAGCTCCTGGGAAATGGCACCCCCAGGAGGGGAGCGAGAAATTCCCCTTGAGCTTCCATCACAAGCCTGTGGGTCCAACACTGCCAGGTTCGACGCCTTCCCGGGAAGAGAGGCAGCCCAGGAAAGGGCTTTTGGGGCATTTTTATGGGATTAATGAAGAGAAAATGCTTGGGATGAAAGCGGCGCTGTGTACTTGCAAAACCGGGGAAATGGGAGCTGTAGTTGGATCTGGGCAATTCCAGGAAAATCCGGGTCTGTACAGTTAGGGATGGGCCAGGTTACTTATCAATCTCCTCCTAAAGCCCCTCTCATGATCAAGCACAGTGGTTCGTAGCCTCTATATTAAATATTAAATTATTAATATTAAACATTAATCCTCCCTAACATCTCTGGCGATGTTCCGATTATCCAGCTGGGATAACTTTGGAGCAGCCGTTTCGCAGGGATCCCCAAGGGGGTCCTCGGGAAGCAGCACCTAGAGATGGGATTAGAGAGGAGTCTCAGAGCTGGCAAGACTCTCCATTGCTCCCAGTCACAGCCTGCCAGGAAACCCGCTGGATATTCCCGTGGGAAGAGGGATGGGTATTGAGAGGGCTGAACCACATCAGCCCGTGCTGATAAACACGGATATTTCCTACCTCTCAGCTCCCTGCTTTCTTCCCACCTGTAGGCTACAAGATGCCCGTGTGCCCRGTCACATTCCAACGATTTCCACCTCAGCAGGAAAGACTAAGGGGGTGCTTTGTTTTAAGAGGAAAATGTGGATTACGATGGGGAGCAGGAGCAAACGCGGCTCCTGGGGCCGACGTTCTTCCCAAAACACCAGYGGGATCGGCCAGGAGCTCACGCAACCGGATGACAACCTGTGGCCTCTCCGAAACTTCCACSGAGCAGAAACAAGAGAAGGGACAACTAAACTGTTAAAGTTGCAGGGGAGGACCTGGAAAGCACTTTGGGGAAAAATAAATTAAAATAAATGAAGTTTGTGAGTGTCTCAGCATGGAGCCAGCATCCCACACAAACGGCCCATCCGTAACTTTGCAAGCAGAAACCAGGGAATAGCAGGTTCCTGGGAGCCCCGTTATTTAGATTTTAATGTCGCTCCATATTTAGCAAGAGGCTAAAATATAAAAATAATAACAACAATAACAAAGCTTCTTTTCCTTCCTGTCACATTTTCCATCCTTGATGACACCGAACACCAGGAATAAGAAGGTGGAGCAAGGAAAGGACACATCCAGCAGCACAGGGGAGAGCGGGAAGCAGGGCATGCATCCCTAAGGATGGTAGAGAGACACCAGGATCATAGAAAAATCTCTGCTACCTCATCCAGGAAAAAGCCTGGATCGGGCCCCTCGCCTCAGCCTCGAGCCTGCGATTTGACTCCGACAACACTCCCGATCCCRGGAATGCCCCAGGTGCCACCAAGGCACTTGCTGCTTCCGAAGGGAGATCCCGCTGTGGAAGGTAGCGGGGAAGGCGGCCGGCTCCGGGCACCGCCGCTCCCGGAGCCGCTTCCGCCACCCGCAGAGGCGCCGCGGAGGAAGGAGAGCCTGGGAGCCTCCTCCTCCTCCTCGGGGCTGCCTCTGGCGAGCGGCCCCTCCGCACGGGCGCCGAGGGAGGACGATCCCGAGCCTGATCCCGTGACTCACGGGCGGCAGCACCGCAGCGACACCCACCCTTTGGGCAGAAACACATATATACATAAATATATATATATGTTTTTTTTTTTTTAAGTGGATGGACTAGGGGATATTGGGGGATCGGAGCTGAGCGGCGGCCCTGCCCCATGCAGCGGCCGGCTGGGATGTTGGGAATGGGAAGCGCTGCCAGGTGGGAAAGGCCCCCCCTACCAAGGGGTGATCCCTGCGCCCACGCGGACTCGCCCCACGTGCAGGCCAGGCCCCTATGGGGCCCCGCAACATACACACACACATATACATATATATATACACATACATATATACACCCCACAGGTGCCCCAAGGGCCCCCCCCCGGCCCCACACACTTCCACAGGCACGGAGCCCATGGGGCCACACGGAGCCCCTCAAGGACCCCACAGATACCCCCAACTCCACAAGGCCCCACGGAGGGACCCCCAGAACCCACAGGGCCCCTATGGATACCCTGAGCACGCCACACTTCACGGGGATCCTATAAGGCACCAGAGATGCCCCATAGACATCTTTAGAGCCCCTATATGGCCCCACAGATGTGCTAAAAGATCCTTAGAGCCCCCATGGGGCACCACAGCTGTTCCCTGGATAGACTAAAGGCCCCTATAGAGTCCCTATAGAACCCCTAAATACCCTTAGGGCTCCTACAGGGCGCACAGATGCTCGCAGACACTCCCAGGGCCCCTATAGGGCATTGAGGATGTCCCCTATACATCCCCAGAGCCCCTGTGCAGCCCCACAGACGCTCCCTAGACCCCCCCGAGCCCCTCCAGAGCCCTATAGATGCCCCCCCGCCCCCTCCAGAGCCCGCCCTGGCCCCGCAGCTGCCCCCCGGCGCGGATGGCCCCGGAGGAGCCGCCGTTACCGCCGCGGCCCCGGCCCGCGCTCACCTGCGGGCG